GGCTCCTGGCCCCGGCCCATCAGTGGTCAGGGCCCCACGGGGCACTTGGGGGGTTGCGGAGATGGCCCCAGAAGGGATCATCTTTGCCACTAGTAGCCATGGTGGTTGTCATTTATCAAGTGCTTGCTGGCTATTCACCAGCATACATTTCCTGGTGTGATCACTGCCACTGCATTGTGAGGGTGGGTGGGGCGCCATTTTTCAAATGAGGAAACTGAGGCTGGAAGAGTCAGTACCTTCCCAAGGTCACAGAGTGAGGAGGCCAGATTTGTGCTTAGGTGTGAGGTCTGATCCCCATTCCCCTTCACTAGACCTGTGCTCCAGGCTCAATTCCCTGTCTATGTCCACAGGGCCAGCCAGGGCTCAGAAAGGAGATGGAGACACCTTCTAACTTCCTGTGACAGGAGGGAAACAGGATCTAACTTCCTGTAACAGATGGAGACAGATTCTCACTTCCTGTTATAGGTTCTAACTTCCTGTGACAGAATGGTGATAGTTCCTAAGTTCATGTGACAGGATGAGGATAGCTCCTAACTTCCTGTGACAGGAGGGCGACAGGTTCTAACTTCCTGTTATAGGTTCTAACTTCCTGTGAGAGGATGGAGACAGGTTCTAAATTCCTGTTATAGGTTCTAACTTCCTGTGACAGGAGGGAGACAGGTTCTAAATTTTTTATAGGTTCTAACTTCCTGTGACAGAATGGTGATAGTTCCTAACTTCCTGTGACAGGATGGAGACAGATTCTAACTTCCTGTGACAGGAGGGCGACAGGTTCTAACTTCCTGTTATAGGTTCTAACTTCCTGTGAGAGGATGGAGACAGGTTCTAAATTCCTGTTATAGGTTCTAACTTCCCGTGACAGGAGGGAGACGGGTTCTAAATTTTTTATAGCTCCTAACTTCCTGTGACAGGATGGAGACAGATTCTAACTTCCTATGACAGAATGGTGATAGCTCCTAAGTTCTCGTGACAGGAGGGAGACAGGTTCTAACTTCCTGTGACAGGAGGGAGACAGATTCTAACTTCCTGTTATAGGTTCTAACTTCCTGTGACAGAATGGTGATAACTCCTAACTTCCTGTGACAGGAGGGAGACAGATTCTAAATTCCTGTTATAGGTTCTAACTTCCTATGAAAGAATGGTGATAGCTCCTAAGTTCTCGTGACAGGAGGGAGACAAGTTCTAACTTCTTGTGATAGGATGAGGACAGGGGCTATCTTCTGCCACCTGAACTTTAGGCCCTTCCCACAATGAAGACAGCAGCCTAAGGAAGCAGAGTCGAGGTGCAGGGCCCCCAGGACTTGGCAGAGCACGGCCCAGGAGGTTCCGCCATCTTGACTGTGTGTGGATTCTGCCGTCAGGAGCATCTACTGTCCAAGTCTTCCCTCAGGTCTCCCTATCAGCTTTTTAGGTTCCCATGCCTCAAGCTGGCAGTTATTGTGAGTGTGGTCTCTTTTTACATCCTATTTCCAGGTCCTCTGTCAGGACTGATAGCAACCCTTCCATTTACTTGGCCATTCTGTGTTTAGAAAGACAGCCCATAGCTCCATGGCACTACAGGTATGTGAGGATCAGGAACAGTGAAGGGGGGTCATGCATGGCAGGGAACCCAGAGGCAGAGGGGAGAAGGAGGGGAAAAGGAGGGCCTGGGTGCTGCTGAGGGGCAGCCCAGTTCCAGAGACACCTAAGTCCAGGCCAGCTGGGAGTGCTCCAGGTGATGTGGGAGGCCCTGCGGGACGCTGCGGGACATCGCGCTGGTCCCTCGGGCTTTCTCCTTCCACTAGCTCACTTCACTGTCCCACATCGGTCTCCTTATTCTACTGACCGGAAGACTGTTGCTCAGCGAGGCCATGACTCCACAGTCTGTAGTCAGTGGCAGAGGCAAAGGGGGCCTGTCTCACTTCAAAGCCTCTACGCGCCTGCGCGCACACACACAAACACACCGCCCCCCTTCAGAAAGCCAGCAGGTGGGTCTGGCCAGCAGGTGGCGCTAGAGTCTCCTTTGTGTGAGCTGAACTTTCCCACTTGCCTGCCGCCCATCCCCTCCCTGCCCAAGGACAGGGTTTTGACTTGGAAACACGAACGCAGCATGTGTGGAAGGTGGAGAATGTGAAGTGTGTGTGATGCCCTGATTCAGCTCCCGCAGCCACCACTCTCCAGAGAGCCGGACGCTCCTTCCTCCTCAATGGTCCCCACACTCCCAGTCCCACAGAGTCAGTAACCAGAAGCATCCCAAGCCCCCCTCACACCGGGCATTTTGGGGCCCGACGCCCTCTAGACCCGTAGCTTCCCAAGGGCGTGGCTGTGGCTCTTTGACTTTATCTCCAGTGCCCAGGATGGGCTCGACACCCACGACCTGTCTAGTAAATGTGCACCAACCAACACAGCCCTGGTCAGTCCCAACGCCAGTTGTCCCCTCCTGCTGTACCCCGGCCTTCCCGAAGCGTCCCAGAAACCTAATCAGCGTTTCTGGCAAACCTCCTGTCAGACCGGGAACGGCACAAGTCTTTGGCGACCGATGCATCTACACTGAGGAGGGTCTGTTGTCACCACACCCACTACAGAGTGCGGGAGAGGCAGGCCCGCGGGACCCCGTGCCCCGGCTTCTATCTCATCATGCTCATGAGAAAAATGTGCCCCAATTTTTCACTTCACCACATGGAGTCACAGCACCCCAGTTATGTGAAAATGTAACTTGGAAAGCCACCACGTACGAGAGAAAAAAGGTCCTTGAGGCTCAGTCCCTCCTCCTGGGACACATGGCCATTCTGGCCACTCCCAGGCTGCTCAGTGATCGCAGCTGTCCCTGACTTTCACACACTTGTCATTTTGGAGACAAGCCCCAGGAACCGGCCAGGGCAGGCCTTCACCCCCCCTGTCCACTGGCAAGTACACCCTCAGGCCAAGAGCCGTCCAAACCGAGGCCACCCAGCCGAGGCCACCCAGCCCTGCTCTGGCTTCCAAGACCACAAGTCTCAGGGGCCAGACCCGCTGAGGAGATAAAGAGAATGTTTGCAGTCCCCGCCCAGGCCCTGGGACACTTTGAACATCCCTCCCGTGGGCAGGAGGGAACTGCGCGGTTAGGATCCTAACAGCCTGCTTGGTCCGCCAGGCCCAGCCCTGCGGGCTGTGGCCAGGCCTGCTGGTCATGCGCCAGTTACTGCCCCTTGGTCACCAGGGACCCTGCCCAGAAGGAGACCGAGCGCAGAGAGAGAGAAGGCTGAGGCGCCTTCTGACTGGCTCTGTCCTGGGGAAGACCGCGGGGGGCTCCTCGCCCTCCTCACCACCGTTTCCTGAGCACCAGGCTGGGCGCCTGGAGCTCGTTGCTGCGCATCCTTCCCCGTCCTCAGGCCTTGCCAGGCAGGTGTGACACGGCCCCTGGGGCGCCGAGGGACTGGCCCAAGGCCACAGCCCTGAGGAGCAGGAGAGCCACAGGACCGCAGTGAAGGATGCCTGGGGTGCCCACGCACGCCCCGCAGGAGGTAGACCCAGAGCGAGCTTTACGGAGTGGGCTCTGCCCCACAATTGCAGGTCACCTACAGGAACCCAGGAGGGCGATGTCCCCACTCCCTGTACAATGGAGGCTCTGAGACGCTCATGAGACCCGCTTCCGGTCAAGGTCAAGGGACTTTGTCAAGGTCAAAGTGGAATGGACTGAGCTGGAAGGCAAACCCAAGTGGCCTGGCTCCTAAGCCAAGATCTCTCCGGAATGCCTCCCCCCATTTGCTTTCGTGGCTGTGTGTGAGGTAGAGGGCAGCGGCACACGGCAGAGGTGGACAGAGCTGTGAAAGCAAGGGGACTTACAATGGCAAACGGCAGCACAGCCGAAGTTACGGACACAGCTCTTCCTTAACCACGCGGAGGAGCGCCGTGCCTGCCCGCGGGGCCCCTGAGCAACCGCAGCCTCTTTGGAAGGCTGTGCACCCGTGAAGCCAGTTCTGGAGTGGCTTCTCCCTCACCGGGGCCCAGGAAGGAAGCAAGGGGGTGGGTTTCCGAGCAGACAAAACACATGCTGGGGGCAGAGAGCAGGCCCGGGGGAGGTGGCGAGGCTGGGAAGGATGCAGAGGACTGCCGGAGTCAGGGTGGGTGGCAACCGCCTGAGACCTGCTCCGGGGGTCAGCGCACAGGAGGCCCGGCCAGGGCCTGGGGTGGAGCCAGGGGACGCTGGGGCCTGGGCACCACCCACGAAGGAGGCACTGACCCTCAGGAGGGAGGAGCAGGCTCAAGAGCAAGAGGCCAAGTCACACAGTCAGCCTGGCTGTGTGCTGGCTGTGAGTCACTTCCACAGAGAGAGGGGTCAGGAACCCATGCTCCTGAGATTGCCTCCTGCCGCGGAGCTTGTCCTGAAACAGCTGACCGTGGGCCTCGCCGAGGCCGTCCCAATAAAATCAGGGTGGGGTGGTATGTGATGAGACCTGGGGTCCCCAATACTCCCTAAGGAAGCGGCACCCAACACCCCAGCAGACAACCAGTGGCCTGGGAGGGAGCGAGCTTACAGTGACGTACGGACACACAGCTTCAGACTGAGGGCACAGGATCTTCCGCGCGAGTCCCACAGTCCCCGGGCTGGACAGAGTCTGGCTTTCAGATGGGTTCGCCTAATAAGGATGCCCCAACACGTCACGCTCGTCCACCCGGAGTTGTCACTACCTTCATCTGATGCAGAGCATCCTGACACTTGTGTCTCACAGAAGAGGACACAGAGGCCCAGAGAGCTGTCCCCTGCCCGAGTTTCAGCTGGGAAACCAGGGGGCCAGGGTTCTGCCAGGCTCCATGCACAGGCTGCTCAGGGGGCAGGCCCGCCAGCCTCCAGCTCCCTGGAGGCCACGGCCTTGGTTTTTGGGACCAGTCCCACTGGCATTTAGAGGCCTGAGGACCAGGGGTCCTCGAGTCCCCCAAGACCCCTGCAGGAGGGTGCAGCTCATGAACCACCTGCCCAGGCGGGAGCCGGGCCCCCAGGAGGCCGGCACAGACAGACAACCGCGGGCTGAGGGACTTACGTGTCTGCGGAGCGACGGTAATTCTCTGGACACTCGAAGGACAGGCAGCGGAAGCTGCCCTGGATATTGAAACAGGTCTCGTTGATGGAGCAGTTGTGTGTGCCGGTCACACACTCGTCAATGTCTGCAAGAGACCCCGAAGCAAGAGAGTGAAGGCCAAGACCACCTGAGCAGGTCCACCGACGGGGGCGGGGGGTGCGGTGCTCGGGCCTCCCACTAGCGGGGGTCGGGGTCGGGGTGGGGGTCGGGCTGTTCCCGCCCGCTGCGGGCCGCTCTCTGGAGCAATGTGCCCGCTCTTTAATTTATAGGACGTTTGTATTTATAGAGCATTTACGTATTATTCAGTCCCTGGAATGAGCATAACAACAATTACAGCTAACACTCTGATGGCCTTGGAAAAGCTTCAAAGAGTTTTTTAAATTCTCTTAAGAATTCATTGAAGTATGTACTGTCACCCTCCCTCGAGGGAGCAGCTGGCCGAAGGTCAGACCCTGCGTAAGCAGCGGAGCCGAGCTTTGAACCAGGCAGGCTGGCACCAAGGCCGCTGCTCTAACCAGTGAGCGCCTCTCCACGCTCCGAGGCTCATCGTCCTCACAGCATCCCGGCAAGGAAGGAGCCCCATGTTACGGATGGGCGTCCCAAGGCCTCATGGGATTCTACGTTGTGCCCGGTGTCCAGGGTCAGTGACATCTGGGCTGGACCCTGGACACCAGGGGCTGTTCCCCTTCCCAGAATTCTCTGGAGCAGCCAGATGGTGGGGTCCAGGGCACATCACTGAGCCAGGAAGCGTCTCTGAACCGGGGTCAAATGCCTGGCCTTGGTGGCAAAATCGCACTCCTAATCTCCAAGGCCGAGGCTCAGGAATGTGTTTTTTGCCGTGTCTGGCAGGGTCCAGCTGCGGAAGGCAGGAGGGGGCACCTGGCCAGGGGCAGGGAAGTCATTCGCTCTGCTGGAAAGGCGAAAACAGAGTGTCTCCCACCCAGTGCTGCGGGCCAGCTGAGCGGGGCCCTCCCAGGAATCGCTGCAGCTGTTGCCTTGGATCAAAGTCACCTTCTGCAAGACCAGAGATGACATCTGCAGAACCGGGGCCTCTGGGGCCTCCGGGTCGCCAGCTCAAGGCAGTGGCGGGGCGGGGGTGGGGGGGCGGGAGGAAGGCGCCAGGCAGACCCAGCCTCTGTGACTCAGCTTCTGGGGCCGTTCCCAGAGACGGGGCCACGTTTCCATTCCGTACCATTCATTCACAAATGTCTACTTGGCGCCCGCTCTGTTACCAAAAGAACAGTCGCAGGATGCAGGGTGACCCTAGAGTGTGTCCGATATGGGAGCTGAGTGGCCGCTCTCCCTGAGCCTGTGCCAGAGCCGACCCCAACCCCAGTGAAGCCCTCAGACCCCTCGAGACCCTGGAGTTGTCACACACCGGCAACACCCTCCCCTCGTCTGGGCAGGGATCAGCACCTTGGCCTCCACCATCCGACCCTGGCAAGGTCTGGCCCACAGCAAGGGTTTGTCAAATGACTGAAGGAAAACGGAGCAGGTGGCACTATGCCACGGAATGGGACCCTTGGGCACGGACTTCCCATTTCCTCCCTGGAGGGCATCGTCCTAAAGGCTGTTGGCCCCCCCGTTCCAGCCCCCTTGGGGCTGCCCAGGGCAAGGCATGAGGGTGCAGCGCCCATGCTTCGAAGACAGGTGTGCTGGCGGCAGCTGGGCCCAGGACACACCTCGGAGGGAGAGGCCTCCCCTCCCCAAATGCACCCCACCTGTGGTGTGGCCCCGGTCAGGGAGGCGCGTCCCCCAGCGGGGGCTGCCTGGCCTTCGCCACGACCTGTAGAGCACCCGGGCACGGCCCTGCAAGTCAGGAGGCCCCGCACGCTCACCTTGGCAGTTGCGGCCGTTGGGCGCCAGCCTGTACCCGGACGAGGGGCAGCTGCACTGGAAGCTCCCAGGGATGTTGATGCAGCGGTAGGAGCAGATGTGGCCCCCGGTGGGCAGGGCGCACTCGTCGATGTCTGCAAGGGCAAGGCCCACGCTCAGCGTCCTGGGCGGCCCCGGCCTGGGCTGCCTTTCCCTAGCACGGGGCCCGCGGGACACGAGAACCCTCGAAGTGCGGGGGCTGCGGCGGCCTCAGAGATCATCACGTCCGAAGGGGACTCAGGGCCCAGAGAGGGCGGGCCTAGCCTCGGGCCACACAGCAGGTTCACAGTGTGACGTGTGCATGGGTGGGGAGAGGAGGCAGACGGGGAGCTGAGCAGAGGGGACAGGCCAAGGGCTCAGAACACCACCAGGGCTGGCCGCCAGTGCATCCCCATGCTAATTACTGTACACGAGCTAATAAAAAATACCCACCCACGGGGAGAGCATAGACGCTCACAGTGGCCTTGCTCTAAGTGCCGCGCTGGGCCGGGCGCTGCAGGAAGCGCGTCTGACTCAGCTCCGGGTTTCACCCTCTGGCGCCGCTCCCAGTCCTTGAGAGTGTCCAGGGTGAACCCTCACACTACAGAGGAGGGGCGCCCAGGCTGGGGAGGGGCTTTCAAAAGTCAGGGCTGGGGCTGGTCCCGGAGCCCCTCCTCACTGCTGGGCCACACAGCGCCGCCCAGCCCTGCTCGGGGGGCCCACAGCCCTCACCGCCGGTACGTACTGATGAAAGAAAACCGGGGCGAGCGGCTTTGCTCCTTCCCAAACCTCACTCTCGATGGTGGGTAAAGGACGCTCAGGCGCGTCTCAGTTGGAGGGGAAAACAAACCACCCGCCAGCCTGAAAGGGCGGCGCCCACCTTCGCAGGTGACCCCGTCCACGTCACTGAGCTGGTAGCCTCGGCGGCAGTAACACTGGTAGGAGCCGTAGACGTTGGCGCACTCCTGGCTGCAGGGGCTGCTGTTGCACTCGTTCACGTCTGGAAGAGAGAGTCCCCCGGGTCACCGCTCAGAGCCATGTCCCTCGTCCCTGGTGGGGCCGGGAGCACAGTGCCTCCCTCAGGTCAACACAGCTGGAGAGGCGGAGGTCCCGAGCGTGGGGCTGCAGCCCGGCTGGGGTGGCCTGAGGCCCCTCCCCCAGCCCCCCGCGGCTGATGGGCCTGGATTCTCCATCCTGGCCACGGCCTGAGGCAAGCTGCACTGGCTCCCGACGGGGCGACAGCCACAGCCTCGGCTACTTCCAGTCGGGCTGCCACCTGGGCACCGGAGGCTTTCTAGTTCTCAGAGGGAGGAAACCTGACCATGTTCTCCTCTGCACTGAGGGAGGACCTGTCGCTACGCTGACACCTAATACTCGCATGCTCGGGACTCCCCAGGCCACTCAGCAACCCCGGGCTCTTGCTAGTCTCTTCCCTTTGCTTAGAGCAGGGACCAGCCTACATCTGGCCCCCCACTTGTTTTTGTTAATAAAGTTTTATTGGCACACAGCCGCACTCATTCATTTCCCACCGTCTATGGCTGCTTTTACCCTGCAGTGGCAGAGGTGAGTACTTTCAACAGACGGTGGCTGGCAGAGCCCAAAATATTTACTATGTGGCTGTTAGGAAAACAAGTTTGCCAGCCTCTGCCCAGAAGTCTCTTCTCATGTTGATTTACTGCTAATTCTTAGCAGGGCAGGAGGGGGAGCAACTGAGAAGGCCCATTAGCCTCTTATCCCCGCAGCCTCACTCACAGGGCTGGGCCGCACCTGCTCGCCTCTGCCCAGCATGGTTCCTTGTCACCTGCTGAGACACTCCCTGAAGGCAGGAACCGTGTGCTTCTGCCACACCTTTGCAGGGGCGGGGTGGGGGGAGCTTTGTGCAAGCTTAGCGGAATACTGTGGCGAGGCCGGTCAGGCCCTGGTGTGATGTCCACAATGTTGCCAACACAGACACGAATGCCTACTTTTCAGTCATTTAGGGTAACCAGGGGCAGCAGAAGCCACGAACGATAATGACACCACCACCCGCCGCCTCCCTGTTGCCAGCACCCCGCCTGCACCCCGCCTGCACCCCGCCTGCACCCCACCTGCACCGGGCATGACTGCTTTCTGCCTGCTTCATCGCGTCTCCTCCTCGCGACCCCTGCACGGCGGGTCCTGACGGCCCCGTGCGGAGATGAGAGCACAGAGGCCCAGAAAGGCCCAGTTACTCCTTCAAGGCATAAACGTGGCAGAGCCGGATCTGAACCCCGGCCTGAAGGGCCCCCAGGTGTGCATCTGGTTCCTTGCCAATATACGTGCGCTCGGCCTGGTTCGTGGGGACAAACCCCAGAATCTCGGGGGAAAGCCCCGGCCCCAGGCACATGACACATGGTCCAGCCTCCTGTCTGGGATTTAGGGACAGCCGAGCCCATCCCGGCAACTCGGACTTTTGTGGTCAATCACATTCTTCTTACTCCAGAGTTTTAAGGCCTGCTCCGTCTAGGTGTGAGCAGCTCCACCAGCAGCCCTCGGTCACTGCGCAGACCAGGGCTTCATGGGCAACATGGGGGATCGCCAGGGGCTGTCCAAGGACTCAATCCCTGCTGACGTCTGAGCCTGATCCCCGCAGACGACGTGACATCTGCTGAGCGCCCACTGTGTGCCAGACCCCCTGCTGGACACACCGGTGGCCTCGTCTCGGTCCATCCCCTCAGCGGAAGTCAGTGCTGCCTGAGAACCCAGGACGCTCGGCACCCATGCGTCCGTCCAGGCTCCACCCCGCACGCCCAGAGACCCGAGCAGCTGGCATGGCTTCTGTGTGGCCGAATTCTGGGTCCCTAGGATGACGACCTCAGGCCCCCTTAAAACAGCTGCCTGAGCGCACTCAACACCGCCAGGGCATTCACCGCATGCAGCAGCCAGCCCGACCCGGGCCCTCGCTTCCCTTTCCCTTAGACGCACTGCATTTGGAAATCTCGCCAGTGGGAGTCCCTTTCCGGTCCCTTTGAGCTGTACTTTCTACCACCCAGGAATGTCTTTCTTAAGGGCGGGACCCGGCACGTGACGTGTGCTCCACCCGCCTCCTGGAGGGGGGGGCGGCCAGTGGGCAGGCGAGCTGGCCCAGTCGTTCGGCCCGCGCCCCGAGCGCTCCCTGAGCACGCCCCAGCACGGAAAAGCACCCCCACTTCTGCTTTGGCAGAGTCGAGGCCAATGGACTCTGAGGTGTCTCCCCTGCTGCAACAGCCTAGACCTGCCCAGCCTTGGTTTCTCTTTGACATGTCATCCCAGGTCCCCCGTGAGGCCCCCGAGGTCACGTGGACGCATGGCCGGCTCTGAAACCCCAGATCCCACCCTCTCTGCCTGTCTTAGCCGGCCTGTTACCCCCACGTGCGCAGGCCGGTGTGGTCAGCCCCTCCAGGGCGCAGGAGAGCTGGGGCGGTCGCTTCTGACAAGCCACCTTTCATAGGCACATCCCCCACTAACACGTCATTTAATATGTGCTCAGAAACAAGTGTGCGTCAGTCCTGACGGGGTGGCCCCGGCCCCTCACCTTCGCAGGAACGGCCATCGGCCGCCAGCCGGAAGCCCACGGAGCAGCTGCAGTGGAAGGAGCCTGGCGTGTTCTCACACTTGTGGCCGCACAGGCGCCCGGGATAGCGCCGGCACTCGTTGATGTCTGAAAGAGAGTGGCGGCGGCGGCAGCTCAGCGGCCACGACCTCCCAGGGCGGCGTCACGTGCCCCTCCCCCTGCCCCCGCGTCCTTCAGCCTCATTTCTCAGAGGACAAAGGCAGAGACTTGTCCCCAGAACAGGGCAAGTCAGCAGAAAGTCAGGCTCCATTGGGCACGCCCCCTGCTCCTTCCGGGGGGCACGTCTGGGTGTGCGTCCACCCCCAAGTTCTCTACTCTGGAACCCTGAAGGAGCGTCCCCCCGGTTTGGGGGTGGCAGGCACCCGTGAGCAGGGTCTGCCCCCACTCCTGGTGGCCGGGCTGCCATGCTGCCTCTGGGTCTCGCTGCCCCAGCTCCGTGCATGGCTCGGGGCCCAGTGGCCCTGCGGCCCTGCAGCCCTGCAGGCCGGCGAGAATCTCTGGGAAACTGCGAATCTCTTGGGCATTTGTAGAGTGGGCTGGGCCTCATAAGCCGGCGGCAGACCGAAGTGACGCAGAGCACCTGCTGTGCGGGCGGGAGAATGGCCCGCAGCCGGAGGGCACCGCGGGGCTGGGGCTGGGCTGGGTCTCTGGCCGCGGGGGCCTTGCTCTGGGGTGGCCTGCCCCCGATGTTCCGAGGTGAGGAGCAGACCATGTTCACCTCGGGAGACCACGGGCTGGTTCTCTTCAGAGTCACCCAGCCAGACCCCCCCGAAGCCTATGGGGACGCCCACATACCCACACACGTCCTGCTGATGCCGTCGAAATAGTAACCAGCGTTGCACTCGCAGCGGAAGCTTCCAGGGGTGTTCACGCAGTGGTGCCCCGGGCCACAGGGCTCAGCGGGCGGCGAGCACTCATCCACATCTTACAGAAGAGAGGAGACATTGGAAACCCTTTAGTGTGTGTGTTTTCCGAATATAGAAAGCAAGCAGCAAAGCGAAATGGACGTGACAAAGTAGCATCATTTAGGCTTCAACACAGCTTCATGGAGCACCCACTGTGTGGGGGGCCCCTGCCAGGGAGACAGCCGACCCCTACCCGCAGGGGACTCCTGCTCTGGCCGGCCAGCAGCGACCTTAGTTAAGGCAGAAGTGCCCGGGGACTGGGCAGGCGCCAAGGAAGTGCTTGGGGGTGAGAGGGAAGAAGAGCCCTGTGGCCAGCAGGAATCCGGGCCCTGGGTCCCGGGCCGGAAGGAGCAGGCGGGCGTGGGAACCGCGCAGAAGCAAGGGCCAGGCTTGTCTGGGGAGCAGCCAGACCTGTGTCATCTGGTCTATATGGTGTGTGAGGCGGGGGCCAGCCCAGGATGACTGCATTGTAAGCGGGGGCATCTGTCCCCTGCCTGTCACCCATGCAGACTGTGCGCATGGAGCGGCAAGACTGCTTTTGGGTCCTGATGACCGGACAGAGTGAAAGGACAAGGCCGGAGGCAGGGGGTGGGCTGGCATTCTACTGCAAGAGTCCAGGCAGCGGACCAGAGAGGCCTCTGCTTGGAGATCGGCAGCGGGACGGATGGACGGACAGGCAGAAAGGGCTTGGTTACAGGATCTAGTCTCCCCTGTCACAGAAGGGAGGGTTGCGCCGGGAGCAGAGACAACTCCATCTCCGATCAGTTGCCTTGTTTCATACCCACCCACACAGCGGGTCCCCTCCTCGTTGAGATGGTAGCCACGGCCACAGTTGGGCACGTTCTTCTGGCACGCATAGGAGCCCTCCGTGTTGATGCACGTGTGCCCGACGGGGCACGTGGCGCTCACACTCAAACACTCATTGATATCTGCAGCGGGAGAGAGAGAGGGACGCCGTGCGGTTAGCCATGGAGCGCGTCCGCACACCCAGCCGCCGAGCCCGCGCCCCTCCGCTTTGCAAACCACCGCAGAGGCCCCCGGACGCCGTCACCCAGCCCCGGCCCCAGCCGCAGGCCTGCCGCCCTCGTGCCTGGAGTCACACCGCCCCTGCCTGGTAGGCCATCTCCCGCGCCTGCCTGGGAAGCACGCCTCTCTATTTATTTATTTATGCATTTATTTTTACTCCTTACCTAAAGATATGTTTATTGATTTGAGAGAGAGAGAAACATTGATGTGAGAGAGGAATATCCATTGGTTGCCTCCTGTCTACGCCCCAACCAGGGATTGAACCCACAACTTAGGCATGTGCCCTGGCCAGGAATTGAACCCACACCCTTTTGGCGTACAGGATGACGCTCCAACTAAACGAGCCGCCCGGCCAGGGTAACACGTCTCCTTTAATGCCCAGCTCAGGACCCCCACTCAATGACACCTCCCGTCCGGCCTCGGAGCAGCCTTCCCTAATGTGGGCCGGCAGGAAGGACATGCCCTGACTGGACACGCCCGACACAGGGACTGAGGGGCGGCCACCTGTGATGAACCCACCCCCAGCAGGCGTGGACCAGTAAACACGGCGCACTGGGTCACACACCTGTCCCCTCCGCGCACTCAAACCAGTGCAAGACCACACAGGCTGGACTTCCCACTGGGGCGTCTTCTAAAAGGACATGTTTTTAAGAGTTACCTGTTCTGACAGACACTTACAAACCCCCTGCGGGGACAAAGAGAAGACAGTGGCGCTCGAGGACCCCTGGGCTGAAGGACAAAAGAGGGACCGGATGTCCCGCCCCCGGGCGCGCCCACCGTCCTCAGACAGGCTCGGAGCCTGGTTCCGTCTGCCCGTGGAGTGGGCCCCGCAGAGCGGCCCAGCACCTCACGGAGCGCGGAAGCCTCCGGGCGACTCCTGCCAGGACGGCAGCCAGCCTGCACAGGCGGGGCTGGGATGTTATCTGCGTTTTACAAACAGGAAGCCCCCGCTCGAGGCTGGAGTGGGGGCCCACGCAGGTCTGGAGCCGGGCTCCCCTGCCCCGACCCTGTTTAGTAAAGCAAGTTTACTGGAGCAAAGCGCATTCCTCGCCCATCATGCGAGACGGCGTGCGGAGCCACGGCAGAGGCCCTGAGCCGGCCAGGCTGACAGTTGCTGTCCAGCCCTTGAGTTTACAGGAAAGCTCAGGGCTTCTACCTGGAGTCAAGGGTAAGTGCAGGCTCGGTGATGGTATCACGCCCTCCCCTCTGCGTCTTGCACTCCCCAGCAAGAGCTGCGCTTCCAAACTGCTGTGGGAACTCGGGTGCCCCTCGAGATCCTGCGCTCCAGGGAGCAGAGCCCCGCTGGTGAGCACAGGCCTGAGTTGTGGGCTCAGCGCCCCATCGGGGAGCCTACCAGGGGCAACCAACTGAGGTCTCTCTCACACATCGATGTTTCTCTCTCTCCCCTCCCTTCTCTCCAAAAATAAATAAGTAAACTCTTGCTAAAACTTAAGAAAATAAAATAAAGTGATATCCCTCTGTACTGTTAAGTGAGGAGGGGAAAAAAAGCAAGTGGCAGAACAGTTTGCCCCATTTTCATAAAATCACAGTGTCTCGAGAAAGCAGGAGCCCAGAGAGCGCAAGGACGGCCCTGAGCAAAGAAGCTTTTCCTTAGCTTCGTACTTAGGTTTCGTTTGCCTTTTGGCAAATAAAAATGTATATAACATTTGAAATAAAAGTAATTTTTAACAGAATCCTGCCCTTGGTGACAAGGGTTATGTGCCACAAAGAGAGACCCCGCCCTACCCTGGGCCAAGCTGAGGCTGCCCCGAGCGAGCAGACGTCGGCTCTGAGGCCCCCACAGAACCACCAGGCACTGGCGGGCTGGGACTCCCAAATGTCCCTGCATCATGGAAATCGGCCCGGCTACGCTGTGCGTCGGGCTTTCCGTCCCCGGTGGACGCCAGCCTCCCCCACGGCCCCCCGCCGGCAGGCAGCAGGCCCGGGCGGGGCCGCCCTCCCTGCCAAGCCCTGGGAGAGCTGGGCCCCCTCAGGGACGCACGGCCGCCTGAGGCCCCCACAGCTTAGACGCCTCCCTGACAGGATGAAAGGGGAGCTTTAGGCGCAAAGACGGGGGCGGGTTCAAGGGTGCCTCTATCCCAAGGGTGGCTGTTCTGTTTGTCTTTAACTATCCTGGGGGAGTTAAATAAAGGGTTTTTGACCACTGTTCGGCGTACAGGTGAGCGGCGTGAGCAGCATTAGGTGCATGAACACTGGTGTGCAACTGCCACCACCAACCGCCCGCAGCGCTTCGCACTCCCTCCCCTGGAACTCTGTGGCCTTGAACCCGAACGCCCCGTCCCCCACCGCCCCGTTAACCACCATTCTACGCTGTGTCAATGAATTTGACTACTAATACAGACTACTTTTTAAAACAGTTTTCTATATACTAGGCACTTCACAATCGCCTTGTTTAAGGCTCGCCTCCAGCCAGACACTGTGATCGTTCCCACTCGACAGGGAAGAAAACGGAAGTTCAGAGGCAGTGAATCACCTTAGGCCCCTTAGTTCAAAGCCAGGTGTCGGACTCCAAAGCTCAAGTTCTTTGGTCCGCACCAGGGGCTGCTAAACTAAAATGCAGCCCCGGGGCCAAAGCCAGCCTGCCAATGGCCTTTGTCAATAAAGTTTTATTGGGACGCAGCCCTGCCCGTCTGTTGACATATCTGTGGATGCTTCCCAGCTGCAATGGCAGAGCGGAGCAGCTACCGCAGAGCCCGTCCGGCCTGCAGCGCCTCACATAGGTGGGATCCGGCCCATCCCAGAAAAAGCTGGCCGACCCCTGATCCAGACGCTATGAGCCCCCCTCTTCTCGAAGGGTCGCTCGCCGCACCTGGGGGACCCCGTAGCTGGCGGCAGAGTCTTACCAATACAGCTGCCTAGAGCATCTTGTATAAAGCCGCTCTTGCACTGCAGCTTGGGTCGGCAGCGGAAGGATCCCAGAGTATTCTGACAGATAAAATCGGGGAGGCAGTTATGAATACCACTGTCACACTCGTCAATATCTGGTGCATCATAAAAAAAGGAGATGGTTAGCGAGAGTCCTGCCAGAAGCATTCTTACAACACTTTAAAATCACAACAAGGTGGGTTTGTTTGTTTGTTTTAAAATGCTCATTACTCAGACTATAACCCAAAACATTTCCACAGAGAGGCCCCAGACAAAAAGGGCCCAAATTAGCCAAGACTTAAAACGCTGATTTTTTTTCCCCCAAGGCTCTTAGGAGGCAAACTCTCTGTTATATAATAAATAACCCAGGCATTTTCCTGGCAATATGTGTGGGTTTTTGGTGTTGTGTTGTTTTTTTTTTTATTTCAGGCCATGTGCATGTTTTGTTTAGATCATCAAGCAATGACCTTCATGGCAATAAACACTGTCTCTATAAACTCATTCATTCTGAAGTTGTCACAATATTCCAAACAGGAACAATGGTGATTGTCATGATCTGAGTGCTGGCTGCCCTCCCTTGAAGTTCATAGCTGTCAGACGTTCAACTGAGTGTGGACTCAGTTGGCCGGGCCCCTGCGTTCTCAGGGTCCAAACCACCCAGCGCGTCCGCAGGGGCGGAACCACCCAGCGCGTCCGCAGGGGTGGGGTGAGACGTCAGGAGGGTGTGCCGTGCTTTTGAGCAGCCCTCATAACTCATCCAACATTTTTACAAAAGCGTTTTGCTGTCTGAAGGGCTGGAAACACTCGGCACAAAACTATATTCTACCAGGTCCTCATCAAAGCCTTATCTGCCAAATAACTTCTATGGCTTGGCAGGGAGGCCGGCAGCCAGAGCTGCCGTGTTTTTATGCAGAGGAAGAGCGCTTTGAACTTCAAGGAAGCCTGCAATCAGACAGAAGGCAGCTGTTGTGCAAAATATATATAAATACATGTACGTATGTATTTTGTAACATGCACATGTGAGCGCCTGAAATTTACCCCAAGTCTTGACTTTAAGTGATCGTGCTCTGAGCCTTTTCGTACATGCAAATTTGGCAATGTTATTGACTCAGCGTTCAGGTACAGAAGGTAAACCCGCCGCGGTGCAGCGCACCACGGAGCCCAGCCCCGGGGAGCCCACAGCCGCCTCTCCCGTCACACAGCTTGGCCCCAGGAGGTGAGGGTTTTCGACTCGGACCATGTTATACCTTTGCAGTCATTGTGCTCCGTGAGCTCATAGCCAGTCCCACAGCTGCTGTCTCTCTGGCAGCGGAAAGAGCCCACGGTATTGATGCAAGACTCTCCAAGCCGGCAGGTGTGGCTGCCCGTGATGCATTCGTTGACGTCTAGGAGAGAGGGACCGACGCAGGGGTCAGCGGCAGGAACAGCGGTGCTGCCAGAGGGCAGCGTGGCCGGGTCCCCGACACCCATCAAGACCCCACACACGGCGTGTTCGGGCTGTGCCCTGGACTGGAGTCCTGGGCGCTCCCATGATTCAAAGCAATGGCTTTCCTCCCCGGATAAGCTTTGGGTCAATCGCTCCTGGCAAAGAGCCAGGACAGACTGGAGTCATGTGACCCTTAAGAACCCTCTAAGGGCTATCAATTCCACCATCTCCCCACCTCACAGCGAGGGGCCAAGGGAGGCTGTGAGCAGATCCCGGATTCACAGCCCAGTCAGACCCCAGACCAACCCTCATTGCCGGCACGGGGTCTGCCTTCTCCCAGGTGAGAGCATGCGGTGCAGGCTCCGGGGGATGCTGGGAAGCCGGTCCTGGGTCCCCCGAATGGGGCCCTGAGTTGTGCAAAGCGGGACCTGCCCCGACGTCTCAGGCCGAGGCAGAGGCTCCCAAGTGCAGTGGCCGGCTGTCGAGCTGTCCCCAGGAGCACGGCGACATTTACCTTCGCAGGAGAAGCCGTCGGGCATCAGCTGGTAGCCCACGAAGCAGGAGCAGACGACCTCCTTGCCCGTGTCTCGGCACTGCTGCTTGCAGGGCCCGCCGCCTGCAACCAGAGCCGCTGTGAGCCCGAAGCCCGGGGCGCCCCCGGCCGGGTGCCACTCCAGCTGTCTTTGGACAGGGCCTGAGAAAATGGCCTCAGGGGGCACTGACCCAGAAAGGCAGGCTCCCCAGGCTGGAGCCCAAGCAGCCGCCCTCCCACGGGAGGCCCCCGGGGCCTGGCTCTGAGCGCCTGGCGTTGCTGCTCCAGGTCCCAGCCCTGGCCTGCAAATCGGGCAGATGCAAGGCGGGCTCTGCAGCTGCAGTGGAGCTGGAAGGGGCGAGGCAGACAAGAGTGCGACGTGGCCACAGACAGCGAGGGGCCAGGCCCACGGGGCAGCGGGGCCCTGAAGAGGCCTCCTCTGCCCCCCACGTCGCTCTCAGGCCAAACTCTGCCCCCGATCCCACAATGCCCGCCTCGGCTCCGGCCGCCAGCTGGCTCCGCTCACCCTGCCCCGGGGCCGCCCGCCCACCCCTCCAGCCACACTTCCCGCAGGGCAGCCTGCAGGATGCACATCTCACGGGACAACCTCTACCAGGCGCAGATCCGACCGGGCACAGCACGACTGCTGCCCCGTGCCTGGGGCCCGCCCCGCTCTCCACGGTCTCGCCCGTCCCTCGCTCTCCACCCTGCCGCCCCCAGCGCCCCCCACCTTACTCTCCAGCACACCCATCCTCACTCACTGCAAACCAGCCTGCCCCCGGAAGACCTTCCAATTCCAATCCCTCCTGGAGCCGGTGAGGAGGCTTTCTGGGCTCCCTGGCCTCCCCACCCCGCCCCAGGCCTGTGTACCAGCCGCACACACCATGTGGCGCTTAAACGGGCTCTCTAATCCACGCCCCAGCCACAGAGCAGGCTGCTGAAGGAACCTGCGGAGCGGACCTGCCAATCCAAACAGGCCAGCGTGTCCCATGAAGGAGACATAAACTTTTATCATAGGAAAAAACAAACCTGCAAGGCCCTCCGACTCTAAATGCGCAAATGTCTCCCGAACAAATCTTACCGCTGGGACCTCAGAACCCAGGGTCAGATAACACGCACCGCACCCCCCCGCTACGCGCCCAGGGGCTCCAGCCTTGGGGGAAGCTGTGCCCTCCATTCACAGAGCACAGTCAGGTGGGCACTGTGGGGGCAGGGTTTTTAACATCAGCTTCTCACTGGACTCCTTGCATGGCGACTGACCATCCCGGGCTGGACGGGTTCGTGGGATTCGTGCAGACAGAATAGTCACGGAGCCGCGGGGATGCCTGCCATGCCTTTATTCCAGGGTGGACGATCCACGCACGCTGCACGCTGCGTGTCACACTACATGTCACCTGGCCCCTCTGCGTGGCACCCACTGCGAGCCCTTGTGTTTCCCCTGCGTGTCTGTCTGTGCCCCCAGTGAGAAGCCCCTACCTTCTTAAGTTCTAGAACAAACAAAGCCGGCAGGGTGCCCGCAGACCGTCAGCACCAGAGCTTCGTACCACGCACGCGGCCCACTCAGGGCTGTGGGAACCGTGTATCGGACCCAGACTCAAGGCTGCGAGACCACTTTCTCAGGCCCCTTCAAGGCTGAGAGAAACGGCTCCCCTTAGCGACCCAGGGCCCTGGGTGAGGAGGCCAGACGGCCCGCGCTTACCCTACCTACGCTCCTTCTCTAAGGCCACCTTCTGCCGCCCTGGCGCACCAGGCCCCGCGGGGAGGCGCGGGAAGGGAGGGGGGCCCAGGAGTGCGGAGAAGACAGACGGAGTGCCTTACAGCGGAGCGGGGCTCCCGGTCACAGGGCCGCCCGCGGTGCACCGGGCACCGCCTGAGGCCGATCCCCTGCCCGGCTGGCCCCACTGTGAACTCCCAGATGGCCCCGGAGAGGAAGCGGGCCTCACCTCGGCAGCGGTCGTTCAGGTATGGGTCCTCCTGCTCCTCCTCCGCCTGAGACACCTTAGCTGAGGGCAAGACAGGCAAAGACACGTTAGGTGCAGGCAGAGGCCCTCCTTCTCTCGGGGGGCGCGGAGCAGTTTGTCTTCTTGGGAATGTCAGGCAGGAAGGCCCGTCTGTGCAACTCCTAACAGCTCGGTGTTCATTGTACCATTTTGAAGAAGAGAACGACACTCATCGATACAGCCAAGTCCCTAAAAGATCTGCTGTAACGGAGCCGCGGCGGCCCCAGGGCCTAGAATTAGCCACTCAACACAGCGAGGTGTCACACTGTCCACATTACTCGAATATTTCAGCAAAGGCAGGCACGGCCCCGCTGTAAATCAAGTCACACCCACCATTGATACAGCAATGCATCAGGCAAAAAGTCACTGTTGTGGGTTGAGCTGTGCCCCCCGCCCTGCAAAAGATGCTGAAGCTCTAACGCCCAGCACCTGCGAACGGACCGCACTGGAGGAGGGTCTTTGCCGATGATCAAGTTAGGATGAAGGCAATAGGGTGGGCCCGAATCCAGTGACAGTGTCCTTATAAAAAGGGGGAACTTGGACACAGTGACAGACACACAGACGGTGAGACAATAGACGTCTGTTGTTTAAGCCCCCGGTCCGTGGTATTTTTATTTCAGCGGCCGCAGGACACGGGCGCACTTGTTTTATACAGCTGGCCTGCAAGCTCAGTGCAGTGCGGCCACCGGCATCCACCCACGCGGTTCGTTCAGTGACGGCCCGGACCGGCCCCTCCTCTCAGTGGAAATGCCGCGGGGCCGTGGGCTCGAGACCCGGCGCGCACAGCGGCCCTGATTAACGGGGTGGCAGTCCGCTAGTAGTTTGGGTGTCAGAGAAACAGGTTAGGCCTTTTCACTAGGGTGGCGATAGGCCAGGGTGTGAAGAATCTTTAGAAATGCTTGAAAACCGAGCTGCCTGCTGTTGAGGACCCTTCCGCCAGGCAAAATGGCAGTGGTCGCAAGTCGATTACATTCAGTATCAACAACAGCCACGCTGGTGGCAAAGCACAGATCAAAGGAGACAGAGAAAAGACCACAAGGACACGTGGCCTCATAAAAACAGTTCATCTCCGCATGTGGGTTTCCAGTAGAAACCGTGTCTACGTCCCCGTGGGCTTCCCGTCCTTCCACCTTCCGGGCCTTCTAACCGCCCGCAGTGAGCTCTGACGCAGGCACGCTGCAGCAGTAGCCATCGTTAAGAGGAAACATGTCAGTAGCTCTGCTGTAAAATGCAACACAATATACACATTTTAACAATGCACAAGGCGTTCTTTCTCAGGGGCTATTAAAATACAGCGAGGGTCTCTAAATCTTTTCAGCTGCGGAGGAACTAAGCAAAAAGCCTTTTAGGGCATAATTGTCTCTTCTAGGTTAGGGGGCACCTTTGCTTGGGGGTATTAATTTAGGGACATTTCTTTTTCTTGCTGCCTTCAACCCCAGCAAAGAGCTAGTCCCTCCCATGTGCCAGGGGTTGAAGGTCCCATCCTCCAAAGGGCTCTTCGGACAATGCCGGGAGGATTCGCAAGGAACTGCCCGCTGGGTGAGGGGGTCGCTGAGATTTCCAGGGCGCGCTGTGGGGGCCAGCAAGCCTGCTACTGCCGCCGGAAAACGGCTCCCGAACCTGCGCTTCCCCAGCTGGGCCCCGCTCCTGCAGCATCGGAGTAACTGGGGTACGGCCCAGCGCGGCTCTTCCCGAGCCCCTCATGTTTAAGGGAACAGGGATCCTTCCCCAGTCTTCGGCCCATATACTTTGATAACATAGAATAAAAACAAATTACAAGAAAAACTAAGGTAAGAGAACAGTCATGGGAGCCCTGATTTTTAAACTTAAATTAAACGGTCGTAACTGACTCTATCAAATGCTTATATAATTTTCGAACCCAGTAGGCCCACAATCGACATTAATGGAGGGAGGAGGGCGCGGCTAGGACTGGGGGCGGGGGCCCTGGCGGAGACTCTGGGAACAGGCTGGGGCCGGGACTGAAGCCGACACAGGCCGGGGGAGACACAGGCCATCTGGAGCGGCAGTGGAGCCCAGGGATCGTTATTGAAACAAGACATAAATCAACAAAAGTCCTCCCTAGAGACGCGGAAGGAATGCTCCACCAGGATAAAGAGTTCGGGTCTGTTTAAAGTAAAACTGTCATCTCTGATTTCAAAAGTCCAGGAGGGAGCCAGAATGTGGCTCCCATCCCTCTTTATGAGGGAGAGATCAGAAGTGCGCCCCGGGGCGTCCACGGGCCCTGGAAAGGAGACATTAAACACAAAGACCGAAGGACTGGTCCATCGGATCCAAAACCCTGAAGCCACCGGGGTCAAAAAGCCACAGCCATGGGCGACCTGACTTTGAGACCGCGGGTTTGCGAGCTCTTCCTCCCTCAGCTCTCCTGCCCCAACCCACTCGTAACGGGTTGGGGGCGGCGAGGCGCGGAGCTCCGAGTGAGAAGGAATGGGGCCCAGAGTCACACAGGCTCCTGAAGTCCCCCTGGGGTTACTTCCGTTCCCAGGAAACCACTGCGTAAGGGGAAGAGGTTATCAGACAGCCCCGAAGTTTCCTGAACTGGGAAACCGCACCATGCCCGGCAGCTTAGGGATTTATCAAATGGACAGTGGGGAGACAGAACCGGGGGGCACACAGCAGGGAGCTCCCTCGAAGCTGCCCTGGGGGGTCACTCGCCCCTTTGCTGAGTGAGCCTCTGTTCCTTGAAGGAGCAGAGCCTGCTGTTAGCGAGTGGTCCCCACAGACTCTTGCCTACGCATCACCGGCTCCAGATAGGGGAGGCACCGGCTGAGAGACGGGAGGCGGGCATTCTCCCTGCTCTGTATGTGGGCCACATGGCCTCGAGCATCGGTCCTCAGCGGGGAAGCAAGAGCAAGACCAGCCACCCACACCGCCCAGGGCTGTTGGAGGGACAGGGAAGAACTGTGGCAGCGAACGTTGACAGGGCAGGCACCGCACCCCTTTCTACGGGTTCTCCCACCGGATCCTCTCAGGGCCCTTATGAAGCAGGACTGTGATTATGCCCATTTCATAGATGAGATGACTGAGGACTGGGTAAATGAGTTTGCTGAAAATACAGGTTCGGACAGGGACGTGAACCAGATTTGTCGGAACCCAGATCCCCGGCCCCCGGTCTCACGCTAGGACAGCGGGCCTCAGATAAGGTGACAAATGTGAAACTGCTCTGGCACCTAGAACCTCTCATGAAGATTTCCAGGGTGTTCTGTGGGAGCCAGCAAGCCTGCTACGCCCACAGAAAACAAATCCCGAACCTGCGCTTCCTCAGCCTGGACCTCCCAATCTGTAGAATGGGAATAACCAGGACACGCCCCAGCGCGGTTCTTCCCAAACTACAGTGCACATGTGTGCCGACCCTGCTTGTAAGATGGTTAATTTTATGTCAACATGGCAGGGCCATGATACCCAGATATTTGATCAAATGCTAGTCTGGAGAGTGCGGGGATGGTATTTTTAGACGAGATTAACATTCCAATGAGCAGACTTTCAGTAAAGCAGATTGCCCACCATAGCATGTGTGGGCCTTGTCTAATCAGGTGAAGGACATGAGAGCAAGACAGACTCACCCAGGCAAGGAGGAATTTGGCCAGCAGACTGCCTTCCCATGTGAGCTGCCACGTCAGCTCTCTCCTGGGCCTCTGCCCTGCAGGCCTGGCCTGCAGTCAGACCGCCAGCGCCCACAACTGCACAAGCTAGTTCCTTACCCTATAGATCTCTCTCTCTATGGACATCTGCATATCCTATTGTTTCTGTTTCTCTGAACAACGCTGACCAATGCACCACCCGAGAGGGAGGCGAGGAGGGAGTTACCTGTCTCTTGGAGGTCCCCATTGTCTGCAGGGGCGAAGTCGGCAGTCTCCTGGCCCTTGACGCAGCAGGCCCGGAAGACCAGCCCGCACTGGTAGCCGACCATGAGGTTGTACTCGCAGCTCTTGCCCTGGGCCTGGGCCTCCCTCCCCAGCAGGCAGCAGTGGCAGCACCTCTGCAAACAGGCAGGGACCCCGGGTGGAGGAGTCAGACAACAACACAGCGGGGCCCGCGGGCCTCTCCGATCCCCCCACATCCGCTCTCCCTGGACAGCGATGGCCCGGGCCTGACTTCCCAGCTCTTCTAAATGGGAGCAGTAAATAGCAGAGCAAGCCGCGCCTGCAAACCCCACAGGGTGGGGTTTTAAAGGAACCTTAAAAGGGCTTGCACCCCGCCCGTGTTCCCCGGCCCTCCCAGGACCCCCGCCAGCCCCCGTCTCCTGGAGGAGGCGGCTATGAAAGGGACCCTGTCAGGTCACACAGGAGCTCTGCAGGGCTCCACTCCTCCTTAGTGCGTGGCCTAAGACTTCCCTGCTGTGCCCGGGAGAGCAAACACGCATGCAGCCCCTCCTCCCAAGTTAGGGTGGTTCAGGCGGCAGGAATCGGATTGCGCAGTGGGACCGACCCCAGCTTCCCCAACGTCACTTAAATCCTGGGGACAGCATTCACCCTGGCATATGAAAAGCCTTTTCAGTCTCTTTCATCCTGAGAAGAGCCCACAGCTGGAGCCAGGAGGCAAGGCTGGGCTTCGGCTTCTGCAGAGGTGACGGGTCTTCCATCCGCTCCCTGCACAGCCTCTGCTGCCAGCAGCGAGGCGCCCTGGCCACATCCTCCACCTTGTGCCGCGTGAGTCACCCTTCCCGGAAACACAAATCACTCATCTGCCAGAGCGACCTGTTCACACTCCCGCTAGACTGTTCCAGGCTTTCTCTGTACCCCCCTTTCTCCCCAGTCTGGGCACAGGGGCAGAGCTGTCTGCCAGGCAGACGGTGTCGGCAGAGCCCCAGTCCTGCCCAGGGAGGCAGTCGCAGAGCGTCCAAGCCTCCCTCACACCAGAAAGCTCCTCCAGTAAAAGCACATAAAGGCTGCGGGCGGCGGCGCCCCTCAGTTTCTCCCTGTGAAATCTCCCCCGTCCCACTCTGTGCGGAGAGAGAGTGTCCCCCGAGAGGAGCCCACGCAGCCTCTCTTGGAACCCTGACTACACTCCGAATCTGGCTCCTTGAAATGACTTGCCCGCCTCCCTGGCCAGGGACGGGAAATCTTTTTTCCAGGGAATTTGCTCTTGTCCCCTGGTACCTCTAACAGAAACCCAGCTGACTGGGGTGACTTTCCAAGCCCAAACGAGCCAGCCCTGTGCCCCCCACCCGGTGGGTGTGGGAGAAGGCACAACCTGGACGCCTCCTTCACTGATCTGTGGTTTTGGACGCGGGCTGCTACCCAGGTCCCTGTGCGGCCACCCAGAGATGCGGACCTTCCGTGGCGGGGGAGGCCCGGCGGCCTGGCCCGGACCCAAGTCCCAGCAGGCCTGACGCCCTTGCTTGCAGCTCATGTTCAGTGCAGGACCCTCTGGGTCTGGAGGACTCCCAGCTCCGTCTCCCCGGCACCTCCCCCTGGTGGTCGTCCGAGGCCACTTTGGAATGTGCGCCTCTCTTGAGCCTAGGTTTTCTCCTCCAGAGCAGTAACAGAGGCCGTGTTGCTGGAGGCCTCTGGGGGGCAGTTCTGAGCCCTGGGCTCTGATTAGCCTGGGTGCAGGGAACCTCGAGGGCCTCCTGTGGGTGGCGGGGGCGGGAGGGGGGGCCCGCCTTGACCTGAGAAGAGGGTTCTGCAGACCCTGCACCCCGTGACCCTGCTCTGACCTCTGTGCTCCTGCTAGAAGCCGGGGGTGGGGGTGGGGAAACGCCCTCAGGCACGCCTGTGTCTCTCCCTCCGTCCCCGTCTCCCCAGGGTCCGAACCGGGCCCAGGAGTCACTGATACACTGGAGGAGGCCAGGAGACTTGAGGGGTCCTTTTTTCCTCCTGGGCCAGGCGCCCCCTGCCGCTCGAAAGGACTGGTGGCCCAGAGCCAGGGTGCGGTGGGGAGAGCGCCAGGCCTCCTGCCGATGGGCAGGGTGGGCTCTGGCCGCTGGCCGGCGGGACAGGGCTCACCTTCACGAACACGGCCTCAAGGCTGGCGTTGCTGGGCAGCTCGCTGCAGCTGTCCTGCTCGTTGGCCAGGTTGATGCCGGTGGCGCAGTGCAGCTCCTCCAGCTGGCTGTGGCAGCACTGCTCCCAGACCATCCTGCGGGCGGGCGGGGGCAGCGGCGGGCTGGGCGGGGGGCCGCGGCTCGGCGGGCGGCCTTCCCCACCCACCCCAGACACGGACAGACACACACAGCGCCTGGCACACAGACAGTGCCTGATACACGTCAGAAAGAGTGAACGCAGCCCAGGCGGGTGGGGCTCAGTGGATTGAGCCCCAGCCTGCACACCAAAGGGTCACGGGTTTGATTCCCCATCAGGGCACAGGCCTGGGTTGCAGGTCAGGTCCCCAGCAGGGGGCCCGTGAGAGGCAACCACACATGGATGTTTCTCTCCCTCTCTCCCTTTCTTTAAAAATAAATACATAAAATCTTTTTTTTTTTTTTTTTTAAAAGAAAGACTAAACACAGGGTGGTGTCTGCAGCGAGTCTAGAGACCCAGCTGGGCCACCAGAGCCCTTATGTACCTCTCTGAGCTCCAAGCCTCCCTCACAGAATGTTCCCACCTCATCCCCACTTTCTGGACTCAGAGGAAATAGCTCCAGAGGGCTACTGCCCCAGGCAGCCGAGTGAGGAGTGGGGCCCCGCCGGCAGGGGGGGAGAGCAGGAGGTATGTGGAAGTCACCCGTGGGGCTCCCACCAGACCCTTCATGACCCAGGCTTCGGCCAAAGCCACCAAGGGCAGGAGGGGCCGCCCGAGCTGCGCCTGTCCAGGGAGGGTAAGGCCCCCCCAGTCGCCCTGCGCTGCCAGCCAGGCCATCTCTGCCCTGGGGCAGCAGCCCCCAGCCCGCCCTGACCCCCCCACCATGTGAGGCTCTGCACCCCCCACTTCCCATGTGTTTCCCGAACTGCCCTCAAGCTCCGGGCTGGGTTTGCCCGTTTGCTCATGCCCTGGGTGGACTTGCAAAGAACAGGTGTTTCACTAAATTGTCAGGAAGAAACCAGGTGATGTGCATCCATGCATCCATTTATTCAAAAATATCAGCCGCACAGAAAACAGGGCGGGGCGTGGAGAACCCAGAACCCCGAGTCCTGCTGGTAGGACAGCCGTGCGCGGGCTCCTCAAAGTTAGAAACAGAACTACCGCAGGGCCCCGCGATTCTGCTCCGGGGCCTGTGCCCCGAGGAGCTGAGAGCAGGCACTCAGGTATCTGTTTACCCGAGTTCTGGGCGGCACACTAGCAAACTGGTCTGTACGCACAGTGGAACGATCCCGAGCATTAAAAAGGCAGGAAGTTCCAACACTCGCAAGGACGGGAATGAAACTTGAGGACGTGCCTCGGGCTCAGCGAAAGCAGCCGGATACAAAAGGAGGAAGGCTGCCTGATGCCACTTACACGGGGGACCTGGAGGAGTCTGAGTCCCAGGGACAGAAAGTGGGATGGCGGCCGCCAGGGGCTGGGGAGGGAACCAGGAGTCACTGCGTCATGGGCACGGTTTCGGCTCCGGAAGGCGACAAAGTCCTGGGGATGGGCGGCGATGTCATGGGAAGGTACTGAACTGCACACTTATAAACGGTTAGGATGGTAACATTTGTTATGTGTGTTTACTACAACTGAAACAAAATTTGGCTGTGGCCCTACTGTGTGCCAGGTCTGGGCAGAGGCCCCAGGGACAGGGACAGGAGTGGCCTGGTGGGAAAAACAGCCTCCCACGTCCGGGGGCTGCAGGCAGCAGCTACTCAGCGCTGCCTGGTGGGGCCAGCGCTGGAAGCAGCCCGGGCTGGGCTTCGTGGTGGCTGCTTCCCTCACCGCCGATCACTGACCTGGCCCTGGAAGGGGGGTCCCCCGGGCCTCCCTGTGTACTTGGGGAAGCTGAGGCCGGGCGCTGGCTCAGGTGGCGCAGCCAGAAACCCAGCCTGGGGGGGCTCGGGGCCAGGCTGCCGCTATCGGCAGGGTCAGTAAACAGGCGGCTGGGACGGAGCCCCCCGCTTGGCCGCAGAGCCGCCAGCGCCCCCGCGATGCAGCCTTTCCCGCACTGAGCCCCGTGCCAGGGCCAGGGTCCCAGCTCTCACTCATCGGGCGCCCCCCCGCCCCCACCCCGGGCCTCCAGTCAATTCAGCGACCCACGCAGCTCATTTTCCCTTCCTTTGTTTGGTCTATGAGGCTCTGACTTCTGAAGAATTTCCGACATCGAGATTTACATCCTGTGCCACGCTGGCAGGAGGCATGCGATGCTCCAGGCTGAGGCCAGCGAGCCTTCCCAGCACATTCTTTCCCGGGGGGCCCCCCGCCCCCGGCAGCCCACAGCGCCCTGTGTCAGTCAGGGCAGAGGAATGAACAATGTCAACGGATGGAACGCTGGGTACCCTCGCCTTCCTGACATCTGCTCCTCGGGGTCCGGGTTCACACCCTGCCGCCAGCTCCTGCCGGCTCTGGATACGGGAGAGCTCAATCTCCCCGTCTGTATAATGGGCGAACAGCCCCCTTAAGTGAGACGAATGAGCGCCCCATGCATGGCGCTAAGCAGGCGCTTCCTTAAGGCTTGCTATAGTTTTTACTGTTGCTTTTATGGTGACAATCAACATTTCTTATCGGCATCATTTATTCTAAGCTTATATTCTCCCCAAACTGCAAGGGCGCTGGCGTCCATTCAGGGAGAGGAGAATAAAATCAGTCCATCTAGATGCTGGCCGCTGCGTGGGGCGGGCCGCTCTCTGGGGCACTCTGCTCCGGTTTTGCATCTGAAAGTGGTCTGTCCACACTTTTATTTGCAAAGCACTCGCAGTTACGTGATCGCACTGCCCCCCACAGGACCCCTTTGTGTTAGGAGGGAAGTGAGCTGGCTGCAGGGTCAGCTGTGGCAGAGGGGGCTGCACCCCCAGACTTTCCAGCGAAGGGGACGACGCCCCCCAGTCATAGGACAGTCCAGGGACCAAGGGACCGAAAGAGGCTGGGTCGCCAGCCCACCGTGCCCCCGACAGCCCTGCCTCCCCCACTTCCCTCTAAACGGACCCACCCTGGTACCGCGCCAGCCGCCGCAAACGTACCTGCACTGCTTGGATTCCGAGGCGTATGGCAGCGAGCAGTCCCTGTGCTGGGTGGCCATTTGATGTCCATCTGCACAGCAAGCCTCCATGGGGACGTCCGCGCCCGCTGCACAGGGAAGAGAACGGGGTGACTGGAGACGAGCGCCACCCCACTCACCCCGCACGAGGTCCCCTTGGACGCACCCCGGCCCAGGACCCCCTCCTGCTGCACCAGCTGGAGGCCCCTTCCTTAGGCGTCCACGCGTCTGAAAGGGCCATGGGCACGTCCATTCCTTCAGTCACGCGGCAACTCGCACTGAAACCTCGCTGGGCCCCGGGCTGGGAGCACCCTTACTGCTCCCTCCTAGAAAGGCCTAAAACCTCAACTGTTCTCTCCCAAGTCCATGCCTGACAGGGTGCAGCTCAGCACCGGGGTGTACACTCAGCCGGACAAATCCCTGCTCCGACCACACCCTGGACACTCAAACGGGGACCCTGCCCAGACGGGGACCCTGCCTTCCCGGTCCAGAGGGCAAGACAGACGTGAGAGAGGCATGACTGAGCCGCCGCCCAGACGAGCAGTCGGGGTATCCAGGACACACGTGAGCCCACACGACAGTGGTTCATGCCACTAACGACAAACAGTGCAGAACGAGGGAGGCCCGGAGGCGCCCAGCGGGGCCGGCGTCGAATGGCGGGACAACGGAGGATGGCTTCTCTCGAGGGGCGACCCCCCTGGCGCGTGCGGGCGCCTGCCAGGGAGGGCGCGCTGTGCACGCAGGCACGGGGAGGAGACGCTTTGGAAGGGTCCTGCGACGCACGCATGAAGCCTCGGTGCGAGGAGAGAGCCCGTGTCTCCAGACCGGCTTCTGGGACCGTCTTGCTCTCTTCGGTTGCACAGCCACTTGCCACAGGGACGTCAGCCCGCATCCAACAGATGATGGAACTGAGGCTGGCAGGGCCGCGTCTCTGCTTCCAGAGAGCACAGGCGGAAGGCCCCCGCGGGCCCCAGGTGGGCCCACTCACGCCCTCACAGCCGGGCAGTGGCTCGGGGAACCGGGCTCTCCGCCCCCAGCCCGGCCCTCGGCCCACGGGACGGAGAGGTCCGCCACGCCCCCAGGAACATGCAGCTGGGGAGCCAGGCGCCCTCAGCGAAAGGGGCTCCCGTGGCCGAAGCATGAGCACCGCAGCCTCTGCAGTCGGGCCGGGGGGTCGCCTCGCAGCAGGAAATTTCCTCCCGGGGCTTTGAGAAACACCATGTGTTCTCACACGGCTGCCAGAGCCCCATGGGGCAAATCCCGCCCGGCCCAGCAGTGCATCCGGGCCCCGCCAGCCACGGGTGCTCGGTTCGAGCTCATTTTCCTTCCACGGCGGCCCCCTCCGGCGGCCCCAGGACGAGGCTCGCCCTTGGGCGCAGCACGAGGCTGAGACTTCCGGAAACACCGGCCTCGGCCACCTGCCGCCAGCCACCGCGAGCACCCGCGCGGGTGGCGTCCGGACCAAGTTCCGTGGGCAGAAGGAGCAACCGCCGCTGCCCACAGAGACCCCGGGTGGTCAGCGCCTACAGGAGGGACTGAGCCCAGGAGGAGGGAAGACCTGGTCGCAAACCAGACCCCCAAATCCCACCACGACAGCTTCAGGCTTCCCTTCCTGGGGCCTCCGAGGAACCGGGGACCTCTCTCCACGGTGAAAGACGGACCCGCGCCATCCTCCCTCTCCCAGGCTCCCCCAGGCCAGCGGGCAGAGTCCAGGCTGGTCTGGGGGAGGGTGACAGCCCCCCCAGCAAAGCCTGCCCGTCCCCTGGCCCCTGGCCCCTTGGCCAGGCCCCGCCTCAGCGGTCCCCTCTCCAAATTCCCCGACGATGCCACTTGGTGGACGTGGGAGAGTCACCAGGGGCTGAGGTTCAGATAAAACTGTCTGGCGTCGTGGGGCTCCCAGCCTCAAAGCAGGGGAGCCATCCAGAGGGGGAGGCGGCAGCCATGAACGGGGCGGACCTTCCTTCTTGCCTCAATTCACCTCGAGGAAAAGCATTCACAAACTGTAGGACCCTAACTGTCACAGATAAAACACGGCCGTGGTCCACCCCCGCGGTGACCGAGACCCAGCCACGTGGCCTGAGCCTGAGGCCACCTCCTCTCTGTAGCCAATCCCAGCTCCCATTCACCCCAACGCCGGCCTTGCTCCCCAGGGCCGCCTGCGCCCGCCTGCCGCCAGCCCGGCCCGGGGGGCCCTCTGCTCCCACGGCCCCGTGTGCACGGAGCACAGCTCACCATTTTCCAACCTTCCATCTGCCTTGCCCTCCCAACCACAAATGTCTTGAGAGCTGGCCTGTCTCTTGTCCTTTGTCCCTGGGCACAGAGCTGTCACACAGCGGTGGCAGACGTGGGCTCCAGTCCCTCGGGCTCTCTTGCTCGGTGACCCTGGGCAGACCACGACTCCTGTCTGAGCCACAGCCTCCTCGGCGGTTAGATGGGGCCTGAAATACCTTTATAGCTGCTGAGAGGACGGACAACGCTTTAAAAGTTCTGACACACAGCGCGCCCCAGGCGGCAGCAGCTCGATGGTGTGTTCAAGGAGCCAAGGGGGTTTGCTTGCCAATACCCAGAAGAGATGAGGGAGTCACGGCCCCGTCTTGGGGTGCAGGACGCCCCAAGCTCCAAGGCCTCCCTCGGCCTCTGAGAAATGCGAGCAGCAGAGACGTGGGCGGACTCCCGTGGCGGCTCAGCAGGGCGAGAACTCAGTGCTCTGAGCTGTGCAAACACTTGGCGCGGTTTCTCCTGGGAGCCTCAAGCACTTTGAACCTTAGTCTCCGCAGCACAATAAAATGCTAAGTCCTAGACTGTCCCTGGAATGCAAGCGGCCACAAAGCTGGACCCTGAGCAAAGCGGAGCCATCTGGGGGCTGTGTCTGGGGGGGCTCAGAGGCTCATCCTCCTGGGCCGTGAGGCGCCCCCTCCACCGGGGTGGGGGTCCCTGCACGGCCCCAGGGAGCCCGCCGGAACCACGGCGCGGCTGGGCGGTGTGGGGCAGAGGTTTGGGAGCAGCGTGGGCAGGGCATCACGCCTGCATCGCAGGAAGCGGCCCGACCCGTGCTGGGCCTGCAGAGAAGGCCCCCCTCATCCTCCACCTCCCAGCCGCCCACCCCTCAAACTCATTGTTGTGCCACCGTACCAGGCGCACGGCATCACAGCGTCGGGCAGAAGTGGCATCGTTTCCAACCAGAGACCTATGTCGTTTCATATTTTTCACTCCTGGGAACAAACGGCTCTAACTGGACAACTTTACCCATAAACCTCCATTCCTGAAGTCCCCGTCATTTCCTTAGGCCAGAGCCACCGAAAGTGAGGAGCAGGGTCAAAGGGGACCCTTCTCACCCCAGATACCCACAGCGATTGCTGTCCTGAGAGGCATCCCTGCTCCACAGCCCCGCCGGCGCTGCGGCCAGCTGGGCCGGGGCTCACTGGCTGGAGCGCATGGGCTCCTGGTCAAGCCCGAGGCGCTGACCTGGGACAAGCTGAGAGCTGGGGCTTACAGTCGGTGTGGCCTGGGTTTTCCCACACTCCTCCGCGGTGCCTGGGGACATGGCAGCGCAGTGTGGAGGAAGGTTGCAGTCTCAGATCGACCTGGGTTTGAACCCTGACCCCATGAGCAGCTGGGCACCCCAGGCAAGTTCCTGGAGATGTCTGCCCTCCGGTCCCGGCTCTGTCCCTCCTCTCTCTCCATTTGCCACTATCTTCCAAGCTGCACATTTCCAGGGACCCGCCACCAAACTGCCACGTCAGTGACTGTTGATATGGACTTCCTAACTAGGAACAGAAGAAGCTAAGTGCAGTTGAGTCGCTGAACATAAACGTTAAGGTGACCCCGTCCCCCGGAGGACCCCACCTTACCCACCAGCACCAGCGCCTGGCTAGCGCGGCACAGAGCCCAGGTGTCACTCAAGAAGCAGACCCTCTCCTGCCTGGGCTCTGGCCCATCTAGGCTCTGTCCTTCTCTGTCCAGCCCTGTCACCTCCAGACGTTACCCAGTCCTGTTGGGTGTCCCCACCCGGAGTCTCCCCGCCATCACGGCCACGGCTGTGGCACTTCAGCAGTACCGGGCGCCCCTGTGCACCCGAGGTCCCCACATCACAAGAAGCCAGGGAGGCCAGGCCACGCGTCCCCCATCCTACAGATGCAGAAACTCCAGCTCAGAGGGATTCAGTGACCAGCCAAAGGCCACACAGCCGGAGGGGCCGTTGAGGGCAAAGCCAGGCGGGGCCTTGGGCCTGGCGCCTCGGAGCCGTCCTGGCCTGCCTCCCCTGCATCGACGGACGACTCCTCGGGGGCAGGACTGGCCTTTTTCTCCTCTGCCCCCGCCTGCGCCCGGAGCAAACACCGAGGCTCCGTGTGTGAAACAGGACAGAGTGGCCAAAGGCCTTCAACCAGGGCCCAATCCAAGACCGTTCTTGGATGCAGAGGCTGCTTGCCAAAGGGTCTCTTCATCAGTTGTGGGAGTGGCAGGGGGTGCAAATGGAGTGACCGTGAGGGACAATCCTTGGCTGGAGCCCCAGCAAGATGCAGGGCTGGTTAGAATTTCAGCAAGAGCCGGGGATGTGCTAAGGGCCACGTGCGGGTCTGAGACTCCAGACCTGTAACTTTCTCGGCCCTAAAGACAGGGGCCCCCCTCCACCCACCAGAGGAAAACAGCTGCGGGGACAGGAGGGGCCTGGTGCAGAGAGGGGAACGCCCTGCACAGCTGTCTGGGGTCACCGCTCAAGATGGCAGCCAAGGTACCGCCAGCGGCAGTTGGTCTTTCAAAGGCTGGCATGTCCCGTCCAGGAAAAGATCTGCTGGGAACTTGTGTCCCCAACAGATGGAGCCGCCCCCCTTTCTTAGACGGCGCAGAAAAGCCAGTGCGGGTCCCCCCCCCCGGCCGCCGGCACACGCCTCTGCTGAGACAGGCCCCAATTCCAAAGGGACATCGGAGCGGCCTTCGCTGGTCTCTTAGCCCCTTCGTGATAAACAAGCGTTGCCCAGGTGATGGGAGGCCCCTTAGGCCACAAGGGAGGCCCCGTGGGCCAGGGAGTCGCACAGGGAGGCCACGCCGAGGCCGGCGTCCCCGCTTCGTCCCTGGGGCTTACTGTGTC